TGCTGGGCTGCGTGCCCTTCGTGCTGGGGTCAGGCAAGGTCCTCTGCCCAGAGCTTTGGGCTTCCCTCTCGCTTGGCATGGCCTCCATTGGCATCTCTCCCGGCCGAGAGGGGTTCAGAGGGTGAAAAGAAGGTTTTAACCTTGAAACAATCAACAGTGGGATTTCTAGGGTCGTTTCTAGGTGGGTTTGGTGGTCACTCGCTGGGATAGCCCGCCGCACCTTGGTGTTACAGGTGGAGAAATCAAATGGCTGCATGAGATGAGAGCCTGGAGGAGATGGTGGGCTTGCCTTGCCCTTGCGTTGACTGGGCCGTGAAAAGTGTCAATATGTTCCTGCAGGCGGGGGGGAGACAGCAGAGGTGAAGTTTATGTAGGTCGCTGGAGAGGGCATTACATCATTAGAAACCAGGAGGTGCAGCGGACTAAGAGTGGAAAAAGAGGTGCTGCAGCGTAAGGCGTAGAATAAGAGCACTTGGCTAAAAAAGAGCTTTTGAAACCTGCTGTTGGAAGGCAGGCACGACACACCCTGTGCCAAGGAGGTGGGTGGGTGGGTCTAATGTGTCCCTCGTAGCCAAGGTGCTGTTGACCCTTGGGTTGGGGAGGAAGGGTACCTATTGGGGGGGATGTTGTACCTATTGCTGCAGTTTCTGCTGCTGCAGAGCCGTCCTCCAGCATTGCTGGGCCACAGGGTGGATATGGGATCCTTCAGCTGACAGGAGCTGTAGGACTTGAGTCTGGGAAGCTGTGCTTCCTGGGACACTGCTGATGTGCCACTGCCGTGCCCCAGGGATGCGGGCTCTTCTTCCTCCCGTGCAGAAGACAGGCTCCTATCTCTCCCCTAAGTAGCCATCACTCCTGGCAGGTTTTTTCTCTGGGTGAGGTTTGGATGACGAAAATGAAACAAGCTACATAACTTCCCGCTGACAGGGGTGGGAGCTGCTTGTTCCTGTCCTTGCTGCCCTGTGTGTTGGCTCAGTGCTAGGAGAGGGGATTTAAGCAGCTGGAAATCAAGCTGCAGATACCACGGGGAGTGAGCGGCTGCCCAGGGATCCTGAGAGGCCGTAGTGGCTCTGGGCAGCAAACCCTGTGCTGCTGCGCTTTGCTGGCTCTGCCAGCTCAGCGTGGCGACGGTGGGAGAGTTTGCTGTGAGCAGGGGTGCAGCGAAGCAGCTCACACCTCCCTCTGACACAAAGCGGGTATGTATGTGAACCTGGGCTGATACTGTGGCTGGAGCCAGGGAGAGGGTTTCCCAAGCCCTGAAGAGCCTCGGGGCTGCAAACCAGTAAAGTGCTCCTAGTAAAAACCTATCATCAGGCCAAATTCCTATCAGGCTTAATCTCATTGTCTCATCCTAACATTTAGCTCCTGCCCAGCCCTGTTTTCCTGGCTGGTTTCTAGCCTGGAGCTCTCACTGGGATAAGGGTCTTTGGCAGGCAGCGTCCTGAGTGCACACGTGCTGCTGAAGGACAGCTGAGTCCTAGTACGGAATTCTCTGAAACGCTCCTCTGGGATCCCCTCTTGGCCGTTCCCCTCTTCCTGGGGAACGGCCATCACATTGTTCAGCCTCGTGCATCAAGGTGGCAAGTCTAATCCAGCACAGATTAGTTTCAACCTAGTTTTACCCTCTAATGCGCTGGGCTGCGGGGAAGGAATTCAGCCTGCCGGAGAGCAGGTGTCTGCTTCTCCCATCCAGGGTGGGCACGAGCATCCCTCGGCCCCTTCCCAGCCCCAGCAGGCAGGGCAGCTGGCGTCGAGCACTTAAACAGCCCAGCACGAGCCTGGCCTGCTGGTTGGAGATGCCTTTTTGGGGAGCAAGGAAGGATCTGGCTTTGCTCAGGTTGTCTTGCAGGTAGCTGGGACTTGTGTGCCCGAATTTATTGGCTTAGAGAAGTCTCTCTGCCCAAGAAAGGCTGTTCAGGGCAGGAGCAGGGGAGAGGCTGGGGCTTATTAAGCAGTTCTTATTAATAGAACATGCCCCTTAAAATGGGAACTTCAGCAAAGGGCTCTAGGAGGAACTTCAGCTGCTTGGGCTGAGTCTGAGTCACTGGCCCTGGGGACTGAATTCCTGTGTGCTATTGTGAGTGTTTGCCTTATCGCAGTCACAGCCGGGCTTGCATACAATGTGGAGGGAGGAATGCCTTTGAAATAACGCTCCCCTGTTGCTTCCTTCGGTCTGGAGCAGAGCTGTGACGCTGATGGGCTGTCCAGTTCCCCTCCAGTTGAAATGGAAGGGGACTGGGTCCTAGGTGTGTGCACAGCATCACCCATCCTGCTCTCCTACCATGCTGCCAGGGGCTATTGGACCCCTCGGCACATGTCCCTCGGCCATCGTGTATGGACGTAACATTCCCTTTGGTCTTCACCATTTCTGTGCTGCCTCTTGTTCCCAGAGAAATACAGCACTATGCTCTTGCATCCCCTGTCCCGCTGGTAGGTGGAAGCTGTCTGCTGCTCCTGCAGGGCAGCATGAAGCCATGACCTGGTGGCCGGGAGATGCTCTGGTCCTGTTTCTCATCACTGGTTCTCGGCGTTGTTGGGAAGTTCCTTCGGCAGAGGCTATTCAGTGGCAATGGCAGTAGGTAACACTACTCCGCTCTCTGGTGACTTCTGCTGCGGGCTGAGCCCAGGTCTCAAAGCTGAATTGGGTCCTTTGTGTTGGGCTGGCAAACGATACCCCTGGGTAGAAATAACTGAGATAAATGAAATTGAGTTGGCAAAGGAGAGCGAAAGAAGGAACTAGGAACATTGCTTTTTGCCACAGCTCTCAATTTGAGTTGGTGTCCATGGTGATAAGGGAAGTCTGTGTCACGCTGGTTTAGTGGGCACGGTCTCTGGTGTCCCATCTGGAGCTGGTGAGATGGGAGGAGGGGATGGCAGTCACTTCTGTCCTAGTGGACTTCCTACAAAACCTTAGTTCAGCTGCAGATAAAAGGCTTGCCAAAGCAGTGGTTAACTGGCAGTGAAGGTTTGAGGCACTTGGGCTCCCTGGGCAGGTCCAGGCTCCCATGTCGCAGCGAGGAAGGAGGGAGCAACTCCAGGAGTGTGGGCTGCAGGGGCCTGAGCATGGGCTGCAGGGTTAGCGTGGCAGGCAGCGATCAAACGTGGAAGGCTCGGGGCCGGCTGTGGCAGCAGGAACCAGGCATCGGCTTGGGGCTGCGGTGCTCTGGAGCTGGCCCAGCAGCCAGACCGGCACAGCTCATAGCACCTGGGGATAGCTGGTTTCAGTCTTCCTTCTGGAAGAAATGAGAACATGCGCTGGAGGCTGGAAGGGTTACTGATGGCTGTGTGGACCACCTGCAGCCCTGATGCCCTAGTGCCTGCAGATGGGGTGGCTTTGGGAGGGTGGTCTAATTAATCATAAGTGATGCTGCCCCAGCACTACCAGTGCTGATGATCCTAGTCTCTTAACGACCCACTCCTGCCTGCCTTGTGAGCATGGAGAACAGTGCTGAGGAACACATGCCCAGAGTAGGGAACAGCCTCAGCCCTCTGTCCGCTCTAACCTCTGGAGGGGTTTTCTGCTGGACAGGCCATGCATAAGCTGTGCAGATGTTAATGATTTCTACACTGAAGAATGCGGTGTTGTTGGTGAACACAGAGTCGTTAAGCTGTGCTGGGCTTGCTGGAGCTAGGCGGTGTGGGAGGGTAGAGACAGGAGCAAGACCCTGCTGCTCACAGCTGCCGGGGGTGTTGCTGGCAGGGCATAGCCGTAGAGCTGGCTGTGCAAGTTGTGGTCTGTTCTCTCGGGTACCTGACGGTTTTTGAGGTAGAGCTAGGGACAAGTGAGCAGAAGTGACCCAGGATTTCCTCCCCAGCCTGAGCAGGGTAGGGGGAAAAAAAAGGGTAGATGGTTCGAGAGAGTGAGAGCCTGTTCCTTACCCCAAAATATCTGTCCTCTCTTGAGTGCGTGATGTTCTACAAACTTTGCCTGTTGTATTTGGTAGCCCTCAGAGTTTATCCAAGAGTTTGAAATCTGATATCAGAATGCTTTTTGCAAGGACTCGGAGCCCTTGCTGGCAATAGGTGCCTGACCCACGTGCTGTGTGTGCTTAAGCAGAGATGGGAGCTTAAACTTCGGGTGAGCAAGAAGAAGGAGTTTCATCCAGTTATTCCAAAGGCACATGGGGTCCGGTCCTCCCTCAAGCTGTTGGTGGGAAATCTGAGAAACCAGAGGCATTCCCCTTGCACTAGAACATTAATGACAAGGTGTGGAGGGATCCAACCCATTTTCAAGCCTCCTGGCACTGTTGCTCAGATGTGGCTCTCTGGGAATTGTGTAGGTCTTCGGGGTAATGCTGCATTTGTACATGCCCTCTAGGGTGTTTTCCTTTGCATCTTTAACCTTGGGGTTATTCTTTTTTTCTGTTTTAGGAATTTCTCTGTGACCCAAAGTTCAGTGATGAAGAAGATTTGGAGGAGAAGTTGGCAGTGTTCAAAGGTGAGAACTGGCGGCTTTCCCTGTCCTTTTGGCCTGACTGGTTGCTCTGAATGGAATATTTTCCTCAGCACTTGGATCTTATTAGCCTGAGATTCTCTACCAAATACAAGTGACTGAGCTAGGATGGATGCCTCCCCCTGGCTTGTGGGACTCAGTGAAACTCCCTGGAGAGGTGGTTTTCCCACATGAGAATTTGTGCTTCCCCCACTTGCGGGGCAGGGACATGTCACCCCGCAGACGTCCTGCCTGGTCACTGCTATTACTGCAAAACCTGCTGCGTGGGCAAAACCCCGGGGAGCAGCAAAGGAGGATGGCTTCTGTCTAGTTACGTAGACGAGCTAGCTGGTATAGTGGACAATGCAGTAGCTGGACTGTCTTCTTTTTTTTTTGTCCTCAGTGAGTAGTAGGACCTCTTCCCACAAGAGCAGAAGTCCCTGTTGCTTTCTGAAGGAGTTGGGGACTTTTTCTCCCCCATGGTTTCTTCAGTCTAATCTGGTCCTTCCTGAGCCCCTTGATAATGGAGGCAACAGCAGTAATGTGTCTCTAGTCCTGGCTAAAGCCTAACTCCAGTGGGTTAGCGGATCCGGGGCTTAGGTTTGGACCGTTTGCTGGGATGGGGCTCAAAGAAACAGCTCAAAAACCTGGGGTCCTCTGGAGCTTGTCCTCAAAGTGGTTACAGGACAAGATTTGGGAGGGCTGCTCTGGGTGTATCCACTTTCTTTCCAAGCAGTGGCTGAAGGCAGTTGAGAAAACATACCTTCTGCATCACACTGCCCTCAAGGTTTGTCCTCAGCCTGGCTCTAACCAAATAAAACCTGACCTTGCTTCCTTTTCAGGCGTTGTCTGTTGTTTTCCTTTGAATTTTGGCTTTGCAATCCAGCATGGAAGAAGCTGGCTGGGGTTTTGTGATCCCTTACCCTGCTGGGCACAGAGGAGCCTCCTGTGCTCCCCGCTCTTTTTCTGTTGCCTTTTGTACGGCTTTGGCTTTTGGCTGCAGCCCCGCATTATTTTTCCCATCACAATTGGGGCTCTTCAAACATTGCAACTGTAGGTCACAGGCGCAGAATTCCCTGTAATGAGAGCCTTTGGCATCTCCTCCCGCTGCCTCATGAGTTTGCCTCCGTGGTCTGTCTCGCTCTCCAATGCCTCCTCCGGCTCCTCCAACAATCGGCTCATTGTGTGATGATGGGGGGAGCATTTCTTCTCCGCCGTCCTTCCCGCTGCCCTCCCCAGCCGGGCCCGGGGAGCCCCCGTGCAGTGTTTGTGTAAATGCATTTGTGAGGGGAGGGACCACGCATGGTTTTGCTCCACCAAATCCCTGCAGCTGGGATGGGAGGGAAAGATGAATGTGCGAGCCGAGGCTCCGAGCACGATGATGTAAAGCTGCCTCTGTTCTCTGTGCATTTGGCTAAGTGTCAGCTGAGAAGAAAAGAAAACCTGTGCTGGGCACGGACACGGCAGAGCAGGGTTTGTGTTCCTGAGCACATGCTGGGGTGCCTGACCCCTGCCCAGGGAGGCGGCAGTTCATTTGCACAAGGTCATTACAGCGGGGCAGAGTGTGGGGAGAGCCAGTGCCACATCAAGCATCACTTTGGCCCCTAAGCACATGTGTGACAGCCCCAATTCCATCTAGGATCGGTTGCTTAATGCTTGAAGGGAGACGTTTATTCCTGCCTGAAGCATGAACGGCTTTGGTTTGTATGTGGTGTTCCCGTAGGTCTGTCTTGGTCAGCTCATGACGGTGATAATCCACCAGCTGAGACCCAGGCGAAGACATGCCAGGCTCTTCCTCTGTCTCCTGCCTGTAGCCGCCCATCAGTCCAGTTAACCCAGCACTTTCCTTCAGAAGCACAGGTCCTGGGAAGGCTCCGATGTGTGAAATATCCACTCTTCCCTTTGGCTCCTTAAATTAGCACGCCACTTCTCTGTTTGTGCTCATCTGCTTGCTGGTGTCCCTGGAGCAGAGGCAAAAGGTCTTTTCCCTTTGGCAAAAGGAGCAGCCTGGGAGGTCTCACTTATTTTGAGTCCTCCGAGGCTGTTCTGGGGAGAGAGTGCTAACTGGAGGGCAAGTGGAAATTTCTCCAGCTTAGCGTGGATGGATGGTGGCAGCAGGCATCTTGCTCTTATTTAGCAGAACTGAGATGATGGGGGGCCCCCTGCGGCGCAAGGAGCTCTGCAGTCTTTAAGACAGACAAATCCTTGCCTGAAGAGCTTAAAGTCTAAATGGGGAACAGCTAGCAAGGGAGGGGGAGGTAGGAAGCACAGGTGTGACACTCCAAAGGTCAGAAGCAGCACAGGACTAAAATCCTGATTATTTTTTTTTTTTTCCCCTAACTCAAATCAGTGCTCTGTCTGTTACAGCATGTGAGCTTTTGTCCTGCAAAGCTAACCAGACCTTGAGCAGGATCTGCCTTTCTCTGAGGATGATGGAGTTGCCCAATTCAGCAATGTTTGAAAGCAGGCTGGAAGGGCAAACAACCTGCTCCGGCATAACTGCTCCTAGGCATGTTCTTGGCTTTGCCCTCTTGATGTGGTCCTTGAGCATCTCTCCTGGCAGGTGCTGCTCTGGGAGTGCAGCACGGTGTTGAGAGGCCTGTAGAGTTTGTCCCTTGCAATTGCAGGCAACTACGTCATTTAATCCCCCTCTTAATCTGATCAAGATTCATTTTGGAAGTGTTCAGTGTTTTGTTTTTGTTGCTACTCCTTCTGGGAGGCTGTTCCAGAGCTTTGTTTTTCTAGCTGGAAACCTTTTAACGCTATTCATGGCTAGCTGATACCTTGTTCTCATGCCAGTGTTTTCCTTCAGCTTAAATGAAAAGCAGCCACAATTAAAGAGCACTTAACTCTAGAGCTCTGGAATGGAGATAAGGGTGCTAAAACTAGGTCTTGAGATGGTCTCCCCCTCTAAACTGTTTGCATTCAGCAGTATATGGATCTTATCCCTTAATCTTTTATTTCATTGCTCAAAGCAGGCAGGGTTTCAAAGCCCTGCGTGCCCCCTGCTCTAGCATCCTGCTAACTCGCTTCTGTGTCTCTTCCAGAGAAGTACATGGAGTTTGACCTGAACAACCAAGGCGAGATCGGTGAGTGACTCAAGGATGCTGGTGCTGGGCTGGAAAAGCAACAGCCTGCTGAGGTGGTGTCTGCTGCTCCCCTCTGCACTTGTGTTGCTGAGGAGGAAAATCCCGTGTCCAGCCTTGCTTGGATCTTGGTTGCCAGCCAGGGGGTTCCTTGGCTCTCCAGCCCCTGCCTCTCAGCTTCCTCAGTCTTTCCTCACCTGCTTCAAGATCTAAGCTTTTCTCAGTCTTGTTCTCCTTCTCGGTTTCTGCTTGCCTCCCCCACTTCTTTTCTGCTCTAAATGCCTTTTTTTTTTTTTTTTTTTCCTTCTCCCTTTTTCTCCACTGAGGCCATCTTCTCAATCCTCAGCATTTCCAGAGCTGGGAAGCTGCAGGGCTTGGACAATCCTAGGTTTTGCCTGGCTTGAGGCAGAAACCATGAACACTCCTAGCGCGGAGAAGCTCTTTGCTTTGCTGGCAGGGGAGCGAAGGGAAGCAGGGACTTGGGTGTGAGTCTGGCTCAGCTGAGCAGCCCTAGTTTGGGCCCAGAAAGCACCAGTTACGTAAAGATCCAGCCTTCTGGAGGCCTGGAGCCGACACTGAAGTGTAATCACTTGCACGCTGTGCCCTTCCAGGAGGTGGTGGCTGCCTCCTTCCCCTCCTCCAGCAGTCCTTGAGCTGAAGGAAAGCCGGTGGGGAGCTGGAAGAGGGCCTGACCCAGGGCTGTGCTGCCGTTTTCTGGGAGGGAAGGGGCCCGCAGGTCTCAGCAGGCGGCAGAGCAATGGAAGGAAATGGCCTGTGGCGATGGGCAGGGGCACCTGCTCCCCACAGCCTGTTTGTCTCCAGTTTTAACCTCAGCGTTGCTTCCCTCCTCCCCATCCTTCTGATTCTTGGCACCACGCTCTGAGCTGGAGAGCATGTCTCTGGAGCGCTCGGAGTTGTTCCTCTTTCTGTGTGCTTGGTGCTTTTGTCTTGAGCTGCACAAATGGGAAGTGGTGCCCTGCACTGGGCAGTACGGCCGAAAGCTGCACTGGAAGGCTTCTCTTGGCTTTCAGCAACAGCTTAATGCTGTCAGCCTTGGAGTCCGCAGGTGAGGTGGTCTGAGGTGGGAACTCATGCCTGTGTCCCTAGGGTTGGTCTGTGCTCAGAGTGGTCACCTCTTGGCAGCACCGATTGCCTTGTTCTTGCAGATTTGATGTCTGTCAAAAGGATGATGGAGAAGATGGGGGCTCCAAAGACCCACCTAGAACTGAAGAAGATGATCTCTGAGGTGACTGGAGGGGTTAGCGAGACCATCTCGTACCAGGACTTTGTCAACGTGATGCTTGGGAAACGCTCTGCTGTGCTTAAACTGTGAGTGTCTCTGGGAGGGAGTCGGGGAGACGCAGGACCTGAGCTGGTGTGCTGGGGGGAGCTGGGAAGCAGAAGTTGTTCTGCCCGGTGGAGGTGGAGCTCTGTGTCCTTGGTGTTCGTGGAGGGGAGAGGAGGACCCTTGTGAAGGGGGAGTTTGCAGAGAGACATGAGAGGGTGTATAAGCCCATGTGCTCCCTGTTCTTTTTCTGTTGCCTTGTCTAGGCTGAGCAGTGGTGAGTGCTCACAGCGGAGTTGCCTGCTGTGTGTTAGCACAGGCTTCCTCCCACACGCTCCATGTGATTCTCCTCCTTTCCATAGGGTGGGCAGGCACTCAGCACTGCAGGACTTCATCCCGTCTCTTCCCTGTGGCTCCTGCTGGCTCTGGGGACACAGGCTTCCTCTGCGAATGGTGGCAGGACTTGAGTGGTGAATGATGGTCCTGCCAACACCAGCGGTGCTGGCTCCTGTTTCCCACAGGATGCTCCTTCTCTCCCTGATTTTGGAGAGACGGGCAGTAGATGGAGATGGGACACATGCTTGAAACAGCTGGCTTGTGCTGGGAGAGGTTTTCTGTGGTACAGGCTGCCAGCACTAGCCTCCCACGGCCCCCTCTGCCCTCTCGACAGGGCTCTGAATGTCCTGCTGTAACAAATAGTTTCCAAACACTTGCTTGGCTCCATCTCCACCCCATTGAAGCCTGGCTTTTCCTTTCACAGCCACAGAGGCTGGCCCTGCTTTTGTAAGGTCTGTAACCACCATGAATAGGAGCTGCTTCTCTCCATCCCCCTTAGCCCTTTTTGAAGGCAGCTTTAGAAACACAGCCAGGTTTCAGGGCAGGTTGGGAGGAAGGATCTTGCGCCCACCTCTCATGTGGTCCCTTGAAGCTGGTACGGGCTTGCTGGCAATGAGTCTCATCTCTCCCCACTGAGTGCCCTGTCTCTGCATGTTGGGATGCTCCTCTTCCAAGCAGAGACTTCTGACATCCCTGCTCCTCATTTCTTTCACCACGGAAGCAGGCTGAGCCTGCAGCCTGTCCCATGTCTTCCATCCTTCCTCCCAACTACAGCAGCTTTCACAGATGGGGCCCTTCTCTTGCTAACAGACACCCCATTGTCTGTTGGACTCTGTAGAGCAGGAGCAGAAATGTAAAACTTGTCCCAAGAGCAGTGCAGCCCTTTGATGCAGCGTGGCAGCTGGCATTCCCAGCGTAGCTGCAGTCCTCAGGGAGGAAGACGGTGCTAGTGGCTGCAAAATGCTTGGGATTCTTCTAGCCAGTGCCTTGCTCCTTGTCTCTGCCCTCTTCCCTGGCTGTAATTGCTGTTGCTTGCTTGGTGTTGGCTTTTGAATGTTCTGCTGTGTGGTTATGTACAAGGTGGGCCAGGGACGGTATTTGCTTTTATGCATCAGGAGCACTTGGCATGCAGTGTGTGCCCTGGGGATTTTGGAAGTGGCGCTCTCAATAAAATGGGTTAGTCCTCTGGAGTGTGACAGGAAAACCAGCAGAGGCTTTGGGAACCCACTCCTGGAAGCTGCTGGAAAAGTGAAGTTGCCTGCCAGGCTGGCAGCACTGCCCTCTCTTGGCTTTCCCTCCGCTGGTAATTACTGGATGCCCTTTGCATAGGAGGCAGATGCTATTTTTCAGCAGATATGATAATCCCACCCCCAATGATGGATAAAGATGCACCCGCTTTTTTTCATTGGTATTATCTGTTGTGTTTTTGCAGGGTCATGATGTTTGAAGGAAAAGCCAATGAAAGCAACCCAAAACCTTCTGGACCACCGCCAGAGAGAGACATAGCCAGCCTCCCTTGAAGAGGACAGGCTGAAAAATTGGCACTGTTTGCTTTGCTGGTCTGTAACAGAGATTACCTGTGCTTTGTTACTCTTTACTGTGGACAGTCCTAGTTTTCAACTAACCTGCCTTAGAGGAACAGCAAGGGAAGCTGGAGACCCCCAGCTCGTGTCTTTCTGCTGCATCCCTTAGCCAACTTGATTTGTTAGACAGAAGCTGTAGCACCAAGTGTAATGTGAGACCAAAAAAAAAACCAAACTGTGATCTTACTTTCCTCTACCCTTCCTGCATTTCTCAGACGAGGAGCTACTTTTCTCCCAGCATATGGATTCAGAGCTGTGCTTGTCACGACAGGTTCCAAAAGGGCCTTACTGCCAGACATTGAGCATTTCTCTGGCAAAGCCCCTGACAGCAGCTTCATGGGTGCAAAGAAATAAGTGCCTTCTCTGCTCTGTCCTACGCTTCCTGACTTTGGACTATTTCTTCCCCTCCTGACCTCACCAAAACACAAGTCAGGCTCCCACCTCTGTGACCTAGTCATGTGCTAGCTGAATGTGGGAAGGTGTGTGGACACAGAGGTCTGCCTGCAGGGCCTCTAAGCTTGGAGGTGGGCATGGCTGACTTCAGGGACAGCTTCTGTCTGCTCCGTGGGTTCATCCTGCAGTCGGATCTTGGTGGGTCCAACACCAGCCGCTGCAAATGAGGACGATTAAAGCTACCTTAGGGGCCCCCTTCCTGATAAATCTCTACTTGGATCCAATCAGGAGTGTAACCTCTGAACAGGTGGCTGCCTGTCCTGTCCATCGAGTGCAGAAACAAGCCTGCTGTTATGCCTTCGTAGCCCCTCAGGAAGGCCTAGGGGAAAATTAAACCTTCAGGTGAAAGGAAGCTGGGTGACTAAACTGTGAGCCCTGCCAGACCAGTTGCAGATGAGGAACTGTCCTCATGCAGCTGCTC